AGCGGCAGATCGCTCACCGCAACGTTGCCGTTGTTTGTGTTTAATATTATGACAATTAGATTTTTTTGTAGAATTTTCGGAAGCTTCTCTGATTTTTGCAGTTTGTATTTTTTAAATTAAAATCGTTGTGAGAGCTACCAGAATTGCCTCCGCGAGCTACCGGTAGCTCGTGATCGACAGGTTGGCGACCACTGCTGCAGAACATTGTTTAACACAAAATTTAATTTATGATTCAATGCTCGCTAAACTGACGTATGCTCAAGATGTTTAGAACTTAAATCTAGAATTAAAAAGACAAGAGATATAAATCAGAAACAGGAATTAATGACGGAAAGTAGAATCCATAAGCTAAAAATAGAAGCTTTTTTTGACCTGCTTAAAGAAGAAAAGGCTGAGATGCTAACCATGTCATACGACTGTCAAAAAAATCCAGTGTTACCCAAGATACCTGACCAGCAGACTTATTACAAACGCCAGTTTTACATGTATAACTTCGCAATCGTCGTTGGAACTTCTAAATGTTTTTTGTTACACATGAAAAGAAACTGACAAAGCAAAAGGTTCAAACGAAATTGCCTCTGCAGTTTTTGACTTCAGAAACTTAACCTAGAGGACGTACCAGATCTAAGGCTTTGCTCCGATGGATGTGGGGGGCAAAATAAAAACCTTTCAATGATCACAATGGTATGTACGAGGATGTATCAGAAAATAACGAGACTGGTGCTATAGTATAACAACGAAACATTTATTTAAAAAAATTCAACAACTATCCTTCGAAGTACTCTCCATTCTGTTGAATACACTTATCCCATCGCTTTATCCACTTATCATAAACTTCTGAGAAACCATTTTTTGATAGTCTGTTTAGTATACCCATCACAGCGTTGTTGAGCTCTAAATCCGACTCAAATTTTCTACCTCTCAATTCTTTTTTGACTTCAGGAAACAAATGAAAGTTACATGGAGCAAGGTCAGGAGATTAGGGGGATAAACCATAATTTCAACCCCTAATTCTTCAATTGTTCGTTGACAAATCATTGATCTATGAGCCGGAGCATTGTCGTGATGCAGCGTCCAGCCAAAGTCCTGATAAAGCGGCCTTTTTTTCTTTAATTTTGCCTTTGAGGGTCCTCGAAGTACATTAGAATAGTACTCCCCTGTTACTGTATGTCCTCTAGGTACAATGTGATCGTAAATAACGCCAAATTTATCAAAAAAAATCAGGTGCATCACTTTACCAGCGCTTTTAGCAGTTTTGGCCTTCTGCGGTCTTGGGCTGCCTTTATGCTTACATTGCATACTTTGAGACTTCAATTCAGGATCGTAATGATAAAACCAACTTTCGTCACATGTAACCACATTATTTAAAAACTGTGGGTTACGTTGCAATTGCCTTTTCCACTGCTGACAAATTGTCACTCGATTCGCTTTTTGTTCATCGGTCATCACTTTTGGAATCCATCTTGCCGCGATCTTCCGATACTCTAAATCTTCATGAATAATTTTTTGAGTGGTACCTTAAGACAAATTAACATTGTCAGAAACTCGTTTTATGCCAATCCGGCGATCATTTTGTATCAAGTCGTTAATTTCTGCAATTTTTGTGTCATTTCTCGCAGTTTGTGGTCGACCGGGACGAGGTTCATCTTCAACTGATTCACAACCGTCGTTAAACTTTTTATGCCACTCAAACACTCTACATCATGATAAACTATTATCTAGATATGCACCTTTATTCATTTCAAAAGTTTCAGTTGGTGTTTTACCCAATCGAACACAAAATTTTATCGCGTATCTTTGCTCCACTTTCATTTTTCGATGGGTACGCAAAACACTGACAATTTAATAATTAATTTGTAACAAATGTCAAAAGTTAAATCAAAGCCTACTTGCGGGGTAGTACATTAAATATAAGGCTTTCATGTCTCATTTTTTGGGTTATAAAATGTTACCTCTGAAAGAAGTTATAGCACCACTCTCGTTATATACTGATATATCCTTGTATGTGGCTCCAGCGTGCACTAACGCACGTAAAATCTCTTGAATTGGTATTTCCAGTTACTGGTCATTCATATATTCCACCGGATAGGGTATTCGCTAATATCGAGAAAAAATTCGCGAAATGGATATCATATTAAATCCTCAAGAATACTTGGATTTATTTAGCAAATCCGGAAGTGTTCAAGTAATAATTGAAAAGTCCAAGACAGGCAAGAACAAGTCAAAGCACATGTGCGTGCTACTTTATCGTTAGCCTTTAAAATTAATTCCTGCAAACGTGTAGGGGAAAGTGTTCCACAATGAGACATAAATTACGTTTCGGTAAGTTGCTAGAGGTAATGATTAAATTTTGAAATTTTGTTGTTTCATGCACATAGATTAACATATTTCTCGTCATTTAACGCAATAAGTTTATCAATTTATCGATTTAGAAAATAAATAGGGATTTTTTTAAATCGTGATTTTTGTCTCATTGTGGAACAAGTATGAGACAGAACTTTTTAGACCAAAAAACAATACAAAAAATATATAATAAAGAAAAATAAACATTCTTTTGAAAAAACCAATATCCAAAAAAACTTATTTTGCTAGGTAGGACAACATAAAATATAAATCCAACAAGTAAAAAATAAAATACTTCAAAACATTAGCGCACATTTAAGAGTTGAAGTTTAGTTCAAAACGTATTAGAGCCTGTTGCCTCTTAGTTTTCCCAGTCGTTAAATATTTAGAAAGTATTATTTTGATGTTTTTTTCTTTTGATCATACTGATATCTTTTCCGACATAAAAGATAACAGTTTTTAATTCATCAAATTGAACTAAAACGTAGTCCCCAGCGATTGGTTGTCGCTCCAGTGCAAGATAGTTATCTTTATCCAAGGCATCTTTAATATCACTAGAATCTTTAGAGGAGCTCCTGGTCTCTTCCTGATAGGATTCCCTATCAGACTCTTCACTAGAAGATTCTCTAAACACTCTGGTCTTGACGTCATTTAATTTTCCCTGCTTTTTTCTCATTTTTAATTCCACCTGCCTCACTTTCTCCTTGGATTTTATTTCATAGAGTTGTGGCGTGTCTGTAGCTATGATACTCTTCTTTTTTCTAGCCCTGTTCTTTTGTTTTAATTCTGGTGCTTTCGGATAGCCTTTCAATACTGCCAGCAATATAATTTTTTTAATAATATTAGTTCCTTTGGTGACTTCAGATTCTTGAATATCAGTCTTAGAGGTTGCAGTTGTTGTGCTATTGCAATCCTGATAATCAGCCGTATGGATTTCAAATGTTTCGTCTCCGCAATCCCCACTAATGTGATGCTCAGATGGACCAGCAATTTCATCAGCTGGCTGGCATCGGTCAGTGACACTGCTAGCAATATAATCGTCGTCCGTGAAAATGTTCTTGTCAAAACGTTTTTGAAACCTGCTGTTATATTTTTGGGGGTCATAGATTTTTCAAACGCAACACCAACATATTCAGCTATTTCATAAATTGAGATCGGACGGCCTGGATTCCTTAGTATCCACGATTCAATTGCAGCATTATATTGGGATTTGAATGGGGAAAAACCGAAGGATCTAAAGGCTGCAATTTGTGAGAGGTGTGCTTTGGCAATGTCAAGATAATGACTTAATTTTTCTTTGCTAGGTCAAGAACATAAGCCGATAAATGGCTTTCATGGTTATCCATAATTAATAGTGTGGGATTGTCTACACTACTCGAGGTATGATGTATAAAGTGATTCATGACTTCTATAAATAAATTCACTGTCATCCATCCTGATGGTTGTGCAAGGCCTAAGGTACTGGGAGGAGCGCCGTGCAGCATGTGCTGTATAAAAATCATAACTGGTGGAATAAAGCTTCCAGTTACGTTCACAATGCAGTAAGTGGTTACTAATATTCCGCGTTCACCGCTAGTTGTTGAGCTAACTTGTTTAATTCCCTTCTTTGTTACAACTTTACGTAGTTTCTGAACAGTAGTGGTTGCGGTCTCGTCCAGGTTGTAGATCCCATCTGAAAAATGCTTTGAACGCTGATAGATCGATTTCAAATGGCAAAAAATTGGCCTACATTATGCTTATTAAATGAAGTAGCTCTGGAAAGACTACAGCCTTCTGGATGTCTTACACTCAACTTAGGGTTCCGTAATATAAAACCTAATAACCATTCCATCCCTGCCCATTTATTAATTTTAAATTTTTCTCGAATGTTAAATTTATTTGCATCGGCTACTTCGAAAGCAAGTATTTGCAAATCTTTCCTAGTTTTGCCGTAGCACATTTTCGAACAAGTTATGGCGTATTCCGCAATAAGTTTCTCTTGTTCTTAGGTAAAAACCTGTTTTTGTTTTTTGACGTAGCGATAAAGCGTTTAAAATTTAATGCCTGTCCTTTCAGATGCTTGTTTTAAATTTAATTTTTCTTCAATAACCATATGCACAGCTGCCTTCATTTGGTCTTCTGTGAAAGAAACTTTTTCCGATTTTGACCCTAACATGGAATTAAAAGGAAAAACATTAGATACTCACACGTTGAAAAATTTTGTCCCACAATGAGACATTGTCTCATTATGGAACCAACAAAACAAAACCAACTATCTCATTGTAGAACTTTTTCGATATTATTTCAAGAAGTTGGCAAATATTTTTCGATCATTTTGAACATCTCTAGTTTATACAGAATCCTAACCTATAAATGCCCAAACAATTTCTGAATTTCAGATTTATCAAAAAACCACCGGATATTATTTATTCACCAATCGAAATATCGACTATAAAAAAAACTTACCTCAATTTGAGCTATGTAAGTCACTAAATATGCTTAGAATTTTCTAAATTTCGTAAAAATTGGTGGAGCACATGCACAACTGAATATGTTCGTCGGCCATATTTTTTAAACTAAATAGGCGGGAAGTTCAAAAAGTTATGGCGAATGTCTCATCGTAGAACACTTTCTCCTAATTATCACAAAAAATACTAAAGGCAATGTCATTGTTCAAGGCGAGCCATTTTACAAGCATCTTATAGGCACCGCTCGAGGTATCTGTAAAAAAGGAAAAATAATCTATGACATCAATCCTGTTGAAATAAGTACTGATCATCGCAACATCAATCCGGAAAAGATCAAAAACGTGGATGAGCTCTTGACAGGCCATTTTGGTTCAACCTGGAAAAAGGAAGCTGAAAATTTACGACTTCAGTATTATCGAGATGAAAACCGTGGCAATGAAGAAGTAGACGCTCAAGAAGAGCCTTAAGAAGATGACAATAAATTTTTCTTATTTAAATTATAATTAATTTGTTTTTAAAGTTCTTAAAGTCCTTTACTTAATATTGCTAAGTGCCTATTACGATAGGTCTCTTCAATAATAAAATATAAGTCGAGCGAAATTCAAAATCAGATATTTTTCATTACAACTTTCAAAACCAGATATTTAAATTTTATTTTTTGGGTTAATATCTTTAAACTTCGATAAAAATCTACGGTTTTTAAGAAAATATTAACAAAAATTATATTTTAACACCCTATATTTAAAATTCATAGAGAAACCGAAAATTGTAAAAAGACAGTTTTTCCGATTTTCTCAATTTCACTTACGATGGATATATGGGTGATTCTTGGATAACTGTGATTTTTTATGTTCAGTGTTTTATTTATCGTTTTCCTCATCAAAAAGGTATTAATATTATAAATTTAGAGTTATTTTACAACCGACATTATGAATTATATCCTAAATCTTCGTAATTTTGTTTAAGTTGCTTATAAATATACTCTTATACCTAAAATCTAATGCATACTGTATTGAATTTTATTGCAATTTTATACCAATTTTTCGAGTGGTAAAAAAATCATGTATATGTCAGTACCGTGGAAATAATGTCAGTACCGTGGCATTAAAATTTTTAAATTTTGTCACAGTTTTCGTTGTGTCGTAGCTGTAGTATAACCACTTTACAGGCTTATTTCTGGGCATAAATAGAAAACAAAAACGCGTAAAACACTTTTAAAACATTTTTAATTTTAGAAAAATGTAAGTTGTAAAAATCGCAGTTACACGAGATTCACCCATATATGGTTGTGCTTCTAGGCGCCTCATATAATGAAACTGGAAGCAATTATAATCACCATTGTATTGAGTAGATGAATGTGTGTGATTATGTGTTTGATCACGCGAGAACATTATCCAATTTAATTGGTTAATATGTTTTCGCCCTGTATGAATCCCGTTTACTTAATCTCTCGCTCAGTTATCGATTTCATTGATGACGAGACGCTTATATTCCAGGGCAAGCAGATACCCGAAATTCTTTAGAAAGTTAGCTCATTTTAATAAATGCTGATTTAATACGCAAAAATTTGAATAATTAGCCTTTTCTCCAGAAGCACCCGCCTAAAAATGATAAATATTCCTTTATTGAAATTTAATCAATGAATTTTAATGTTTGATTTTTTATCTATTTGTTGCCCAAACAACAATGTTGCTCTATAAAGTGTACATATTCTGTAGGTGCAGGCGCGGATCTGGGAAGAATTTTAGGTGAGAATAAATAATTTATTCTAGTTTTGATATATAAGGCAGGGATGATTTATCCAGTGGTTCATTTGTGCATTGAATACCCAGTTATATTTCATAGAAACACATTATTTTAAAATAAATAGCATACAAATATTAATTCAATTTTAATAATTTTATTGTTTTCATACGTGGTAATATCTATTTTTGGGTACGCCGCTGCGCTCTGGCTAATCGCATCTCCGTGGCGCTCTCTTATAAGTGAGCCCGAAGGAGTGAGAAGCTTTCTCATTCAAAAAACTAAATAGTTGTGTCTATGTTAGATATGTACCTATAACATAAAGACTTAATTAAATATTTACCGATATCAGTACCTGGGATGTAAACTGAAGTATGTCGTGCTATTTATAGAGGAATATTGGAGATATATAACACTATACAATAAAAAAATTATTATCAGAACATAGAAATAAGTTACAAAAACTAACAAGTCATGTAGGTATATTAAAAAAAGTATTAATAGTTAGATTATAAGTAAACAATACTTATTGTGACAATAATTGGGACTAACTGCATTTCTTGTCGAATTATAATTGATATATGTACATATGGAACAGAAAAGTGTCCAAACAACATTCAGTCTGCTCTACTAAAAAGTTGATTGGAATAACTGCAATTTACCTCCGAGGCACTGATTACATATTAAATAATTTTCAAAACTTTGACTTTATCATTTATTTATTGTACCTATTTTTTTAGTCTATTATGTTATTGTTTTAGCCTTGATTATATTATTATCATACTCTTCACACTACTCTGTGAAAAGTATTATAGGTTTACTTTGTCCGACGTCACGTTTTTTGTCTGCACGATGGGTCAAAAACGAAAAATGATATCAAATTGAAAATTTCAAACAAAGACAAGCTCTTTAAGGGGACAAGGCTTATTAATTTAAAAAAAGAAGCCCTTTGATTTTGAAAAAAAATCTGATTAAAAATGGGGGTTTATAAGGGGGGATAAAATTAAAAAAAAAAAAATCAAATCAAAAATGAAAAGCGAAATCAACATAAAATGTTTAGTAAAAATCAAGCTCTATAAGGAGATGAGGCCTATTGATTGTGAAAAAATTTAAATGAAAGTAGGAGGGGTTAAGGGAGGTTATAATATTAAAAAAAAAATCTAACTCAAAAACGAATTGAAGGTTTTGGAAAAAATCAAGCTCAATAAGCCTATGGATTTAAAAAAAATCTGATTGAAAATGAGAGGTAAGGGGGGTTTGTTAATCTGTGAAGAGTGTAATTTAGAATACCATGCATTATATATCTTCATTCTGGTTGGTAACTGGGTAATGTTATGTATTGTGATGGGACTGATCTTATAAAATATGTCTATTAGTTCACTTGGTTTATTTGCCAATAAAAGGTAATTAAAATGATTAAATTTACAATAAAAACCGAAAAGCTGTAGGTAAAGTTTCATATAATATTTTTTACACAAAAATCAATGTTAAGTTTTGTACATAACCTGATATAAATTTAAAAATAATCTCAAAAGATGAAGAAAAGTCAGCTGACTATAACTAATAATGTTCATAAATGGTTTTCAATATATTAAAAACAAAATAAATATTAGTTAAATTTATTTAACTCGAAAATAATTTTTTAAAAAACAAAAATTTACTTTTTGAAAATTAAAGACTTTATTTATTTGACGTTTACAACAATCTAAACTGAAATGAATTTTAATAATGTATTTCACATGATAATGATAATAATAATAATATAATAATATGTTTATTCAAATATTTTAAAAGTACAAACCTAAATACATAATCATACGAATAAACATGAAACACCGCAGAAACTGAATACAATCAGTTTGTACGCGGGTAAATATAACAGGTTAAAAAATACTTATATAAAATTAAATAATTAAATTTACAATTACTATCTTAACTTTAAAACAACTATTTATTTACTTATTTATATACATTACTTACCTACAAATACAGAACGAAATCAGTTAATATATAAATTAAAAATTAAAAATAGGGTTACAATCAAAAATAAAAGTCTAACACGTGAAGTGAGGTCTCAAATAGTTAATTTTTAACAATCTTAAGTTTTTTTTCCTTATTATTACTATTATATTTGTTTTATTTATTATGTGTATCTGTAACACGTATAATTAGAATGTTAAGCATTCATTTATAATCTGATGGAATAAATATCGATCCGTCTCTAAAACCCAGTTTTTAAGTTTAGTTTTGTAATTAAGAAAATTTTTAATTTGTTTCAGTTCCTTTGGAAAATAATTAAATAATTTAGAGCTAATGTAGTTGCAACTTTGTTGACCTATTGTTTTATTGCATTTAGGAAGCTGTGTTTTATATTCTTTGTTGCGTGTTTCATAATCATGTTTTGCGCATTGTATTAAAATTTTCTCTTTATGAATATTAATAAGTATTTTAAACGCAAATAATTGTCGTACATCACATATTTTATTCTGTTGATATAAGAGATTACTTGAATATATAATTGGTTTATTATAAATTATTCTTAACATCCATTTTTGTATAATATGTAATTTGTTTATGTATATATCTAACACACCTCCCCATCCTAATATACCATACTGAAGCAAACTTTGTACTAAGGCAAAATAAATCATTTTTAGGTGTTGTGTATCCAAAAAGTCTCTTAATAATTTAAATCTAGATAAAAGGCCTCTGATTTTATTCGTTAAATTATTTATGTGCAAGTCCCATCTTAGGTGCCTATCTATAATTATTCCAAGATATCTGATGGAGTCTGCTTCTGGAATTTCAGTGTCTTTATCGATAATTAATGGACCAAGTATTGGTAAGCCCGAAACATAGGATGAAAAAGAAAGGTATTTGGTTTTTTTAATGTTAAGAGTGAGGAGATTATATGCAAACCAATTTTTTATTTCAACCATATCTTTCTCTGCCTTTTGTTTTAGCAACTGCCATGATTGTTCTTTATATAAAATAGCAGTGTCATCGGCAAAACTAATTGTACTTCCTCTCGTTTTCATTTTTAATAAGCTGTTAATATATAAGGTAAACAGGATGGGACCTAAAACTGTTCCTTGAGGAACACCATATACAACCTTTTTTTGTTTGCTGGCAACATTGTCTATTGAAACGGTTTGCGTTCTATCAGTTAAGTAACTTTTTATTAGACTATAAGTATTTCCTCTTACACCAAATGAATAAAGCTTATGTAATAGTTTGTTATGACAAACAGTATCAAATGCTTTAGAGAGGTCTATAAATATGCAAAGAGTAGGTGTCCTTTTATCAAGTGCATTATATATTTCTGAAGTTAATTTTGTTGACTTACCTTCTCTAAAGCCATACTGTTTGTCACTAATTATGTCGTTGGCTTTAAAAAAACTTGTTAATCGGAATTTTAAAATTTTTTCTATAATTTTCGAAATATTAGAAATTAATGATACAGGTCTGTAATTTGATATTTCACTTTTATCCCCACCTTTATATAATGGTTTGATCATTCCTGTCTTAAGTACTTTAGGGAAAATTCCTGTTTCGAATATTTTATTAATAATATAGGTAAGTGGTTCCTTTATTTCATATGATATTTGTTTAAGCGTTTCGGCTCTTAGATTATCAGCTCCAGGTGATTTTTTATTTTTTAATGTATGAATGGTATTAAATACTTCAGTGACATTAGTTGGAAATAAGTACATTATATTTTGTG